TTGAGTGTAGTCATCTTAAAGCTTTCGCTTTCATTTTCCAATGTTTTGAAGGTGTCCTTTGGAGATTCTTTCAAGAAAGGTCATACCCCAATGACGATAATCACGCTGAGTTCTTTGCTACCAGTGAACAGTGGCGATTCCAGATTTTCAAATTTGTATTTAGTCCCTCAAAAACCGACATCGGAATATTCAGGACCGAAAAGAAAGAAACCATAACGATGCCCCGCTAAGCAGACAAAAAGAGATAACGAATGAGAGCGAAATTTCTCACTGTACGAAAACATACAAGTGTCTGTCGTGTTCAATGTATTTTTTTTTCTGTTACCAGTGTAAACTAGTGAATTGAACATGCTACCTTGAAAGCCAGGTATTAAATCGTCTTCTATGTGCCGTGTTTCCATAGAAACAATGACTCACCATCCTCTCTTAGTAACATCTCTACCCGTGTCATCCGTCTGTGTCACTAACCATTCTCTCAAAAAATTAGTCAGTTATAAGGTCGGCTGATTTCTCTAGTCACTTTTGTCTTGAACATGTTTAATTCTCGAAGCTTCGTCTTCTCTTCATATGACCCAGAAATTTCATTTACCTCTTTCAGAATTCAGAATTTAAATGTTCGTTTTTTTTTCTATTTTCTTTCAGACTTCTTCATTGCTTATATGCTCCGTCCATGGTATTCTCAAAAAATATTGTCTTCTGTAGAATCATCTTTCTTTTTATATTCTGTTTTCTCTTAATCTGTGGAGAGATTGTCCAGTATTGGCTTCCACACGGGATGATTGATATTACATAAGCGTTCGACACTCCTTTCTTTGTTTCTAATGAATGCTTTCCTTTTTCTTAGTACAAGTTAACTAAAAAGAGTCCTTGTCGTTTTTTATTGAGTAGAAACAGGATGTATATTGTAAATTTAAGATACCGTTAGTTCGCAAAGCAATCTGCATCGGCTTCCTGGGTAGCTCAATGTCTTAGTGGTGAAAATTAGGTTTCTTGACGCAAAGAAGTCTGAAACTGCCTGTCGCAAATCTAACTCACTTATGAAGGATTTCCCACGAAGGTCGTTGTCCAGGAAATCGAAGAGGTCGTAATCTGTTAGTGCAAGGTCCAGAAAGTAAGGTGGATGGCACAATGTGTCTTTCAGCCAAGTTTCCGTCCAGTATTTCTGGCCACCCGCGTATATATGAGGCCTTGTATTTTCGTAGTGGAACAGCACACCCTTGCGATTTACAAGTGCTAGCTCCTTCTATTCTTTCTGCTTCAGTGCCTGCTGCACACGTTCTAACTTCTGATCTATAATGATGGTTTGGTCCGTTGGTAGCCGCTCATAGTGCACCCTTTGTCGACTAGCCGACCAGATACAGAGCGTGGGCTGTAGAGGAGGTCTTGAGGTGTCAGACACGAAGTGACAACCAATGGGTGGCACTTTTGGAAGGGTCATACAGGACACACATTTCGCCTTGATGAGCACTTGATGGGTACGTTGTGGTGTCGAGAAAGCAATGAGAAAAAGCCTGTCGCTCGTTATTGCTTGTTGGCTTCAGACAGTGTGCGGACTAACCACTTGCTCATCTTATAAACCTTCCCTATACACTACCGGCGAAGTCTGGCGGTTACATAATATACAGGGAAGCGTAAGGCAACCTCACTACTTGTTTGGCTGCTAATCTCCACCATGGACGTCTTCAGCACCTCAGCATTCAATACTGCGGGGTTCATCACAAAGGAACATAGCTTTCGATCTGAATTTCTGTGAAAAATGCCAGGTGGTACGCTCAATCACAGCATTATCCGTAAAAGACTAAAACGTATTTGGTACCTGCAGAAAAGCCCACTTTAAAGTTATAAAGCAGACAACCCCGAACGATTTACTTCGACAGCGCTATACCTGCTCGAGGTATGTCACCTGTATTGGTCAAGGGCTGTCATAGACAACCCTTTTTGAAGAATGGGCAGCACTAGGGACAGTTAAACATAAGGTAGGCCGTATTACTAAAGGACAAATAATCAAGGTAAGTTTTCATTAGAGATACTGCAGACATTTTCACGACAAAAGACCATGTGAATAAGCATCTGTCTTAGAAACGGAGAAGAATCGATTTTTTTTTCTTTGGATTCTTTCTATAGTAAATAATATACCCCCCCAAAAAAAACCAAAAAAACAAAAAAACCCTGAAGTCTTCTTATAATATCATCACTGATAACAGAGTGATTAACAGACGTTGTTGCGCGTGATTTGTTCCTAATTGATTCATATGACGATGCAAAAACATTTTTTAAAGAAGTAACTTTTATTCTGTAGAGACAAATAACCATTAACGTTACCTGTCTCTGAAGCAAAAGCTGTTTACATTTAAGATCTTCCGTAGTGAAAATCGCCAATGATTTACAATTCTGAATAGGTTACCTTCAATGAAAAGTTACAAAATCCAAGAAACATTGTACTTAATCATTGTTTACGTATGCGAATAGGTCAGTCTGAAGTCGGGCGATCGGCTGATCGGTTGAACTCTCTTCCTACGGACGGGAGTAACCCGAAGGAGGCTACGCCGAAGGGCGGAGTCTCTTTCGGGGAGGTAAACCGACCCTGAACCCGTTTATACGGGTTCAATGGGCATATTTTTGGCCGAGCCCACGGGCTCGGAATGCCCATGTTAAAAAGGCCTTGTGCCACATGACACCCTCGTGGGGGGGTGACTGAATATCGTCAGCGAATAGGTTAGAAAAAAAGGAAACAAACAATATATAATAACGTTATTTTCCTCATTAGATTATACGTGGCACTCAAAAGACAACCTCGAACGAGCTACTTCGACACGGCTACTTTTGCTTGCCACTCCTTGAGGTATGACTCCTGTATTGGTCAAGAGCAGTCATGGACAACCCTTTTCAGACAGTGGGCCACACTAGGGATAGTTCCTCATAAGGTGGTCACACTACTAAAAAAATAAATAACCAAGGTAAGTTTATATTAAAGATACGGCATCCATTTTCCTAACCAAAGAGCATGCGCATAAGCCTCTGGCTTAGAAATGAGGAAAAGTCGATATTTTTTTCTTTGAAGAAAATATTCCTTTTATAATTAAGAAAAACTGAAATCCCTGTATAACATTATCACTAATAACAGAGTAATTAACACACGTTGTTGTGTGAGATTTGTTTCTAATTTATTCATTTGATGATTCAAAAACTTTTTTAAAAAAAAGTATATTCTCTAGAGAAAAATAATTAATTATTAAATAATAATAATATTAAATATTAATAATTAATTAACGTGTCTTTTATCTTAAGAAAAAATGTTTACAATTATGATTTTACTTAATGGAAATCGCCAATAGTTTAAAATGCTTACAATTTTACCTTCAGCAAAATGTTTCAAAACCGTGAAAACAGTGTTTAAAGCGATTTTCCAAGCGTAGCTTGGATGCGGTACAAGGCCGAAAGTAAGGGGCGCCCAGTGAGGATTGAACACACCACTCGTAATTGCTTGCTAACCATTACACCACCTCGAGGTGTCTAGAAACACTGTTTATATATATCACTATTGATGAGAGTGTGTGTTTGACAAAGAAACATTTTAATAAACGTTATATTCCTTAAAGAAATTAGGCTTGCCATTAAGAATGCCAATCGGGCCATATATGGGCCGCGGGTCGCAATTTGCCCATGACTGGTCAAGAGCAATAGGCCCAGCGCCACTCGCACCGTTTTCTCGGAACGTAACGCAGTCATTTGCGTATCAATGAACACTTCTTTCCACACGACGTAAAAAACAGCAAGGACTTGTTTGGTTAGCTTATGCTTTGTTTAGTTTATGGAATGCATCTTTTACTCTTTAATTTCTCGTTCGGACTTCCGTGTTTCATTGCCACCCCGCTGTTTAAATACTTCCCAGTTGCATTCCTTTCACAATGGCCGCGTTTCACTTGTATCGTCGTTCTGATTATCAGTGCAACTTTTATTGTTTCTTTTAAAAAACAAACGGTGTTAGCACATAGAAATGTGCGTTTTTTTTATACTAGTATGCATTCTTGTTGTATGTACTACCTGAAGACGACAGGCATAATTTTGAAACATTGTAAAAAAGTACCTTCTTCTCAGTACAAATCACGCCATTAAATTGCATTTCTTTCTTTTTTCTTTTACCGCATTTTCTCCGACATTTTAACGTTTTCGCATAATCCACTTGTTAGCAACTATTCGTTGGTTTTTATCCAACTCTATTGATATGGAGGAGCTATGGATAGCGGTTTGTATTGAGGAATCGTAGAGCGCAGTTCGAATTCCGGCCGAGTGCATTATAATCCCTCACTATTACTATTACCCATCTCTTCTCTCCCACTCCTTCTATGGGTAAATAGCAGGACAGACAAAGTTCTATAGCCTTGGGTGGCAACACTGAATTCAAAATTAAATGACCATCATAGGTATGACGATAAACTACATCCGACAGCCAGGGTTCTGATCAGGAGGTTTTGAGGATCGTGGAACCACCTCTTAATTGCTGGTGTTCCCAGGTCCACCCTGTCTCAAGGTCGTAACACCTGTTAGGTGGGTCCCAGCTATGGATAAATAGTTTACCCTCAAACCGGGGTCAAAACACTATGAAACTTGCCGAGTGCATTATATTCCCTCGTTATTACACTGTAAAAACATTATGTGGTTTCTTTTCTGGAAAATTTCTCTCTTCTCGAAACATTGCAAAGTATTGAAAGTATTATTATTATTATTATTATTATTATTATTAATAATAATAATAATAATAATAATAATATTTTTAAATATCCTTAATATTAAACCGTTCGGAAAGCAGAGTAAAGGCAAGAAATGTTACGATAACATTAAGAAAACGGAGGACTCTTTTAGAATGTATTGTTTTTATACAATTTTTTTTATTTATTTATTTCGCAGTGTGATGAATATTTAAATCCTTAGTCTGTTGTTATCAGATTTTAAGTTGACAGGCAAACACTTTACCAAACTCTTCGCCATTTCCGCCTACAATGACAGCACTTCGACAGCTTCTTCTCCTTCGTGTCGTCATTCAATGCCGCCCATCATCTAAAGTCATGGCGTCTGGAGTTTGTCGCGAGACAAGCGAACACGGCGTCACGCCCAAACACATCACACTGATTTCTCGCCGTCAGAAGCCATAGTAGAAGGAATCGTCTGGCGATTGGTGGCACAAGAAGAGATAAGCCTCAAGTGCCCTGCCGAAGAAGGAAATTTTTATCTCTTCAGTCTATGAATAGCAATTGGGGGGGGGGAAATCGGCATTTCGGATATGAATCCTCTTCATTTCCGTTCTCTTTAGCCCGATTGCCTCTCGTCGAGTGCTTTGCCCAATCTTCCTAAGATGATCTTTACCGTTCATACCGCATTCAACCACCCCCCACCTCGACCACGCCCGGTCATTATCTTCACTCCTTCTTTTGCATCCTTCATTGCGAAGAAACACCTGATACCCTACTCATACGTTCTTCTCAGCAAAAATCACGCCATTATGTTTTTTTTTATCTTTCATTTCTTTCTTTTTTTTTTCTTTTTACTTTTACCCCATTTTCTCCGCCATTTTAACGTTTTCTCATAATCAACTTATTAGCAACTATTCGTTGGTCTTTCTCCAACTCTATTGATATGGCGGAACAATGGATAGCGGCTTGGACTGAGGAGTCGTAGAGCCCCGTTCGAATTCCGGCCGAGTGCAATATAATCCCTCACTATTACTATTACCCATCTCTTCTCTCCCACTCCTTCTATGGGTAAATAGCAAGGCCGACAAAGTTCTATAGCCTTGGTTGGCAACACTGAATTCAAAATTAAATGACCATCATAGGTATGACGATAAACTACATACTCGTCCTGAATAAGACGATAAACTACATCCAGCAGCCACGTCTCTGTTCAGGAGGTTTTGAGGAGCGTGGAACCACCTCTTAATTGCTGGTGTTCCCAGATCATCCTGACTCAAGGTCGTAGCACCTGTTAGGGGGTCCCAGCTATGGATAAATAGTTTACCCTCAAACCGGGGTCAAAACACTATGAAAGTGTAAAAATATGTTTTATTACCAGCTATACATTTTTGAAGAAAATAATTACCAGCTATAAATTAAAAAAAAAATACCAGCAATATATTTTAGAAAAAAAAAAAAATTACCAGCAATAAAAATCTTGTCGGCATTAAATAACCCATTGAGGTTGATATGCCGTAAAAAAACAAACCGAAGCAAACTAAAATTGATGGCTTAGTGTACGGACCGAGGGCGGTCTACACCATATTCCGTGGTTTTCGGCTGTCGATCAAGAGCTTGGATAGGAGACAGGCGCCGCCTAGCCATCCGAAAGCCCAACGAAAGGATCATAGGAAAAGCGAAGCTTGTTATCACTTCCAAAAATGCTCGTTAAAATCGAGACTTCTTAGACTAATAGTATCGCCTTCCAACAATATCTGCACTAGCAATACTTGTTTAAGTAGTAATCGCCAAATAGTATAATGATCAGAAGACAATCGTAAGTGTAAACTTCTCTCTCGACCAGTTTGTAACACATCTATTTATAATGTCCCAGTTGCGTCTCAGTCTTTGGGCAGAGTGCGCTCAGGGGCGATTCCGTCAAAGGACAGATTCGCAATTGAGGAAAACTATACCTGAGAGGTGTCCAGCCCTGGGGAATAGATGCCCGAATTCGCACCCTCTCATTGCACCAGATTGATGATATCGGTGCTCGCACCAAAGCCAGCGTAACCGACAGTTGCGGGGGCTGCGGGCAACTTTTGCTCCTTACCCGGGTGTAGGCGCTCGGGTCCTCACCTTAAAATGTAACCTTGTTTCATAATTGTCTTAGAAGGGAGACTAGTGGTAGAGTAGAAAGAGTGAACCTATAGCAATCGTGGACAGACAAGAAGGAACAGTGATCCGTACAGTGATAGAGGAGAGAGGAGGACACGGTCATCTTTTAGTTACACGCTACTTCCGGTTTATTCACTTCCTTTATGATCACGTGATCTACTTCATAATGGAGTCGCCCGTGTTACTCACAGGCGATGTAGATTCAAACCACAAACAACGAAGCTTACTCTTATACAACAATGAAAAAGAAGAATCAATGTTTTCTCTGTCCTCAGGTCAACCCCGACGATTGAAGGAGTCGACATGCTGATAATGATGATTTCAGACCGTTCTTCTTATCTGTGTCGAATGTATCTATTTATTTTCATTATCTCGATAACCGATAGCATTGCCTTGATATAGGCGTGTTATTAATCGAGGCAAATATAATACACGTACAGAAACCTAACTTTGCCCTGAATTTAATGATTGAGCTTTGTGTTCTCTGTGATTGACATTATCTTTTCTCCTTTGGAGGACTCCGAATAAATGGCAGTGTCAAGACGACGTACCTCTTGTATTCAGACTTCAAGGTCTGCCTCGTTGCAGAGGCCCGGAAGGAAACCTATTCTGAAACAATCTGAAACTGAGTTGACATTGATTTGTCCTATTTAGAACTGAAAAAAAAATACTTCGAAAGTTTAACAGATTTTGCAGTCGAAACTCTGAGTCTGATTTTCAATTCTTTTTTTTTTTTATTTTCCAGGGTTTTTCAGGACCGTTCTCAGTGTCGAGATAATGGCGGACAAAACTGTTAACTGTTAACTTTAACTTGCAGAGAGTATTGCTGCCATATATGGTCTGGAGCCCCTTCTGTTTGCCTCGGGGTTCTTGATAAGATCCAGAGACGGATATGCAATGCAATTGGCACTGATCTGGCATCTCGTCTGCAGTCGCTCTCTCACAGACGCACCGTCGCCTCCCTCTGTCTTTTTTACAAATACTTTCATGGTAATTGCTCCGAGGAGCTGCTTTCGCTGGTTCCCAGACTTCGCGAATTCAAGCGTCCTACGAGTCTGGCATCCCGCTCTCACCCTTTCACTGTTGAAACTGTTAAATGTAGCCGTTTCTTCTACTCCAATAGCTTCATGTCTCGCACCTCTCGCCTGTGGAACTCCCTTCCCTATTCTTGTTTCCCTGAGAGCTATAATCTCCAACTATTCAAATGTAATGCCAATCGACATCTTCAGTTGACTTGATCTATCCACTATCTTACTCCCCATCCTTTGCTCTTTCATTCCTACCTGCACTTGCTCCAAATCATCTGTAACCCCTTGCGTGCTAGTGGCTTCCCACCTTGCTAGGGGTGAAATGCTTAATATATATATATATATATATATATATATATATATATATATATATATATATATCGTGCAAGGATTTTTGACAGAAACATCGCGTCGTGCATATCTGACAGCACCTATCTACAGTCTAAATTTGTCGCTTTTGCTATTTTGCATTTTCTCAAGGCGAAAAGCTATGTTGAAATGCCGTAGATGAGATCCAGGAGATGGCAAAGAGGCTGTTTGTTGTAGTCTCGAAACTGTACATTCGACATTACGTTGAAAATTGGAAGGGTCGTTGGGACAAGGGTGTGATAACTTCATAGAAATAATTTGAAAACGACAATAGTGCACCTGCTCGCTAATATTAAATGGCTCTAAGCCTACCAAACAGCTATCTGAATTTGTTCGTATCTCACTTCATGTCTCTTTCTTTCTCTCTCTCTCTCTCTCTCTCTCTCTCTCTCTCTCTATATATATATATATATATATATATATATATATGTGTGTGTGTGTGTGTATGTGCGCACACAGACACGGACACACACACACATATATATATTTGTGCATAGGTACATATTTGTAAAAATCTTTGTAAATATATTCATTCTATCCAAAGCTGAGCGTAACCATTTCATCTCTCTCGCTTTGTTTCTCTCCGTATCTATCTATCTATCTATCTATCTATCTATCTATCTATCTCTGATGATTATCTATCTATCTATCTCGCTACGTTTTTATCTATCTCAATTTGTTCGCATATCAGTATCAGTATATGTTTCTCTCTCACTCTCTCTCTCTCTCTCTCTATATATATATATATATATATATATATATATATATATATATATGTTTGTAGGTATATGTTTGTAAATATATTTATCTTACCCCTTACTGAAAGAGTCTATCTATCTATCTATCTATCTATCTATCTATCTATCTATCTATCTATTATATACCGTACCTAAGAACACGAATGGTTATGTCCCAATCCTGATAAATACGTTGGACACTATTGTAAGTTGGGGTAATATGCTGTATAAGTAGTCCACTAATTCACGCCGCTGGCGAGTATTGTATTTTGCTGATGCTATAAAGATTACCATTTCATTTCCAACATCCGTTTTGGTTATTCCTGATTCAATAAACTTTTTTAGGTTGCAACACTTTCTATCTATCTAACTATCTATCTATCTATCTACAAGACTGTTTTTTCTGTGTATCTGTTAATTTATTTCTATCTATAATTTTAAAAAAAATTGTACTGTTGTGGATTCCGGAATGAAATCCGGTCTCAAAATGAATGACAAACGCAGGAATGAAATATAGCAAATAAATGTATTGGCGTAATAATACAATTGGTAATACGGTTAGTAGATCCAGAAATGCGGTTAGTAGCAATAATAATATATATATAGTCTGGGATATTCTGTATCGAAGTATGACTTCCTTCTGAGACTACGTGCTCGCAACTGTGACTCCTACAAAACGGTTTCCTCTCACTGTATCACTTCCGACTTCCGAGTATTCACCGGCAGTAGTACAAGTACACACTGGTCGAGTCCACTTGTATACAAAGTGGTGGACCCCATAACACCCTCTCTTTAGATCCCTTCTGGGGGGAGTTAGTATTTTTTCTCTTATGGTTGATAATCAGGGGTTCGGTAAATTTTTCTCACACTTTTCTCCATTTACTTTACAAAAGTCCTGAAGTCTTCTGAAAACTTCCTTTATGTGATATGTGCTCTTCAACATTGTCGCTCTTAATTAGAATATAATCCAGATAAGCGGTCGCGAAATTCTCGCCCGTGAGCATTGTGTCCATCCCGCTCGAAAATACGTCAGGAAATCGGTTATCTAATTCTTCTTTTAATTTTATAGCATCTGATGGTTCAACCTCTAACTTTTTGCAAAAAGAGTTGATAGGTAGGTCCCAAACGTTGAACTTTTGCATCCAGTCGATACCTACTAGATTTTCAGTATCTTTCATGACGTATATCTTAAGTTTTTTTTTTTGTTTTGCCGTGAAATTTAACATTCACGATTATTTCTCCCTCGAATTTTATTCGTTTGCCTGTAACCGTAATTTTTTGTGTATGTAACATGGTAGTTCTGTTGAGTTTTCTTCATGTCTGTAGGTTGATTATCGTGAGGTCGGAACCCGAATCCAGTTGCAATTTTATCTTTTTATTTAAAATTTCAAGTTCCACATATTTCCTTTTGTTGGTGTTGTCTCCGTTATGCATCCTAGTAGCTCTTATTTTACTAGTATCTTTTCTATTCATATATTAGTATACCTTGTTGCCCTTTTTTTCCACACTCAAGTTTTTATATTTAAAGTGGCAATCTTTGTTCCAATGTAGTCCTCCACATGGATAACATGCTGATGGGGGGGGGGCTTATATTTGCTTCGATATTCGTCATAATTTGTCCTGTATGTTGTACTTGTTGATCATTTTGGTATTTTGGTATTTGTAATTGTTGATCATTTTGGTGTTTTATCAGTTCTACCAAAATATTTTTAAAATCTTCCATGATAACTCAATTTTACTTATTTTTTCTCCTCGTAACTGTTTGTCGCTAATTTGTTGTGGAAGACGAGGGAAAAATTTTTTGTTGTTTGTTCTTCCTGTGTGAGTTCAAATCGACGTCGTCAATTTATTGTGGATGAGAGGAGGATTATTCTATTTCTTCTTCTCGTGTGAGTTGGAATCGCTCGTCGCCAATACGCTGTGGACGACGAGGGAAATTTTTTTGTTGTTTTTTTCTTCCCGTGTGAGTTCGAATTTGGTAATACAGTTAGTAGATCCAGAAATGCGGTTAGTAGCAATAAAAATATATATACAGTCTGGAAAATTGAGTATCGAAGTATGACTTCCTTCTGAGTCTACGTGCTCGCAACTGTGACTCCTACAAAGCGGTTACCTCACACTCTTACTCTCTCTATTACTCTACCACTTCCGACCTCCGGGTATTCATCAGTAGTACAAATGCACACTGGTTGAGTCCACTTGTATGAAAAAGGGATGGACTCCATAACAGGTACCACCCCATTCAAAGCAGTACAGCCACTAGCACGCAAGGTGTTACAGGGTGTAGAGGAATTAGGAACAGAAACATTAGAAATGAAGAGAAAGCGAAAAGAGCAATCAGGAGGATAATAGATACAGATTGACATTGCATTTAAATTTTTGCAGATTAAAGTTGGTAAGAAAGTATGGGGGAGGGAATTCCACAGGCGAGATGTGCTAGATAAGAATCTGTTAACGTAGAAGTTATGTCTACATCTAGCTCAACAGTAAATTAATGGGATCTTGAGGCCTGTCTAGTATTGCGCTAATATTCATAAAGTCCAGGTACCATAGCGAAGACATCTTCCGAATAATTACCATGAAAGTATTAATTAAAAAAAAAGACACAGAGTATCAATGTTGGAGCGGTGGGAAAGTGACTGAAGCCAAGCGGACAGATAAAGACCAACAATATTGCTGATTTTTCTTTGGATCTTCCGCGCCAGGAAGTTTTTCTCCCCGGAATCGATCCTCCAGATCTACAAATCAACAATTCGCCCTTGCATGGAGTATTGCTGCCATATATGGTCTGGTGCCCCTTCTGTTTGCCTCGGGGTTCTTGATAGGCTCCAGAGGCGGATATGCAATATAATTGGCCCTGCACTGGCATCTCGTCTACAGTCACTTTCTCTTTCTAATGGCATCAGGTGTAAAGACTACATCGAATCCATCGCTAGATCAGCTGCTACTAAAGTCGCTTCACTGTCACGGGCGAGGCAGTTTTTCTCTCTGGAATCTATCTTGCATATCTATAAGTATACCATTCGTTCATGCTTAGAATATTACTGCCATCGCCTCTCTCTGTCTGTTTTACAAATACTTTCATGGAAATTGCTCCGAGGAGCTGCATTCGCTGGTTCCCAGACGTCATGAGGCTGGCATCCCGCTCTCACCCCTTCACTGTCGAAACTTCCATAATGTAGCCGTCTCTTCTACTCTAATAGCTTCATGTCTCGCGCCTCTCGCCCGTGGAACTCCCTTCCCTATTCCTGTTTCCCTGTGAGCTATAATCTCCAGCTATTCAAGTGTAATGTCAATCGACATCTCCAGTTGCCTTGATCTATCCACTATCTTTCTCCTCATCCTTTCTTCTTTCACTCCTATCTGATCTTGCTCTAAATTTTCTCTAACCCCTTGCGTCCTAGTCGCTTTCCGCCTTGCTTGGGTTGAAATGCTTAAAAAAAAAAAAGAAAAAAAGTAGCTCCAGGAAAATAGCATAGACACCGGACCATATATGGCAGCAATATTCTAAGCATGAACGAATGGTATACTTATAGATATGCAAGATAGATTCCAGAGAGAAAAACTGCCTTGCCCGCGACAGTGAAGCGACTTTAGTAGCAGCTGATCTAGCGATGGATTCGATGTAGTCTTTACACCTGATGCCATTAGCCAGAGAAGGCACAATGATTCTTTTTCTTGGAGGATAGCATCAGCCATGCTGATGGAAGACAGAGTGGTCTCACAGATGATTAATGGAGAGAAGCTTAGTTTTGGAGGCATTAAAATTGACAAACCATCTTCTGCCTCAGTTAACGACGGTTTTGATGTCGCTTTGTACCTCAGCTGCCATTTTGACATTGTCGGATTGATCAACCTTACTATCGAGGCAGGAGTAAATTGTAGTGTTGACAGCGTAGATGCCAAGTTAAGCATAAGTCTTCGAGAAAGTCGTTAACGAAGATTAAAAACAGCGTAGGACCAAGGATTAAGTACTGAGGGATACTCTTGTTAGTACGAAAGGATGTAGACGAGTGGCCGTTCAAGACAACTTTCATTTCTCGAGTTGATAGGAACGACTAGATCAGCTCAAAGATGTGTCAGGAGAAAACGTATCTTTTCAGATTGTGGAGAAGATCTGAATGCCAGACCATGTCAAATGCTTTCGAGATATCCAATGCTACAGCACGGGATTTACCGTTTTTATCTAGAGCGTGATAGACTCTTTTCGCAATTATCGTTATTACATCTGGAAAACAAAAAAGCCGTATTGATTGTATGAGAAAAGGCCCTGCGATGGACCAATTCAGCATTGATCAATGTCTCTGGGAGTTTCCCAAAAAGAGGCAGAATGCTGATAGTTGGATAGGTCAGAGGGTTCAAGAGTGTTCTTAAAAACTAGAACAGACAATGACTTCCAGCAAGCAGGAAAGCAGGAGGCAGCGAGGCGTTTATTATGCAGTTTAGAGAGAACAGGAGCCAGTTCGGGAGCACATATCTTAATGATTATTACAGGGATACAATTGGGGCTACTTGCTTTGTAAGGATCAAGATTAGATGTGATAGCATAAACCATGGAAGGGGTTATATGCATATCATTCACAGAGAATCAGTACTATATGGAAGTTTAGGCAGGAATATTCCAGATGAGTCAAGTGTAGAGTTTGGGAAGAATTCAAAGTCAAACCATTCAGCTTTAACAGCAATGGATGAGAACACCGCAAATTGATTGAAGAGTGGGAAATAGAGAACTTGCACTTATTTGGTACCCTATTACAAAGACGCCAAGAGTCACGAGAGACAATCTTTTTAGAGGCTATGCGGTGCCTCATTCCTTCAGTAAATTGAGACTTAGTTACCTCGAAGACTCGTTTACATTGGTTACGAGCAGTAGCAAATAGGCATCTGATATGATGAGAGATGTCACACTGGTATAACCGGAAATACTTATTCCTGTTTACTATGGCAACCGAGTATACTAGTGTGAACCATGGAGAGGATTGCGGTTTTACCTGGTATTTCCGAGAAGTAATGAAAGCGTCTATGCTGGCTTTGACTCAAGAAGAAATCTCAGAGGCGCAGTTTTCAATTTGCAGGTTGAAAATATCAGTCCAAGTGGCGCCATGAAGAAACTCCACGAATAAGTCTCAATAAAAATGCTGTTACCGGAAAGAGGTCTTATGGATAGTGGGACCTCTTTAAGGAATACTTGGAAGAAGACATCAATAGCTACCACTGAGTGATCCGAGTAACCAAGAGGGCAGTATTGTAAAGTATGGCAAGGGAGGGGCGATAAAGTAAGAAATAGACCCAATAGGGAAGCATGTTGCTCGGTTTGGTGATGGAAACGAATAGGAAAGTCCACGATTAGAGTGAGGGATTGGGCAATGAAAAAAATTGATGTTTGTATACCGGCAACATCAGAAGCTTTTATGATGTTTCAGCCATGAGTCGTG